CCGCGATCATGATTTTGATGAGTCTTTTTTTAATTATTTCACTCCAAGCAAGGCAATGAAGCCACTAAGAAGCAAGGAGTTACTCAGTGTGAACTGATAAGAGAAAAAGAAAAAATATTCTTATGAAGGGAGGACAATAAAATAAGAGTGATTAAGAATACAAAAAATAACCATTGACATTGGATTTAAACTTTTGAAGATCAAATTTGATTGAAAAGCAAAAGGCCGGAAGTGAGTTCCTCAAGCGAAAGATAAAAAAAACAAACTATTAGCACAGAACGGACGGTTGCATCTAGCCATTTCACCAATCTATTAGGTAGCAAAAAGGAAAGCTCATCAGAAAAAAATCCATTAAAATATTTGTATAAAATTCACAAGGAAGACACAGTTAGGGTAGTGGGTAAATGACCGAGATGTTAGGTCAGGATCGATAAAATTGCAGATTTTTCTTTGTATTTCATCATGAATTTCCAAACTACATACCGGAAGTACCAGGCAAGATGTGGCACCAATATTCCATGTATGGACGAATGGCAAACTTATATGTGTAAGATCGATTTTGTCGAGAAAAATTGCCAAGCACAATATAGTGAAGTAACTTTATCACCCTGCATTTTCAGCTTTTAATCATTCCAACTCAAGCAAGGAAATACATACACTGAGATGCAATGTGGTTAATGGGTGTGAAAGAATTAAAAAAAAAAAGAAAAAAATTATGAAGATGAGATCTCTATAAAAGAAAAGGAATCATGATTGGCAATGTTTTCAAATATTTGAAGATCGAAGTTGAATGGAGAAGCATAGAGCCACAGATCCACCAGCGAGAAATACGAAAGGAGAAACTGTTAGCAAAGAACTTACGGTTACCTCTAGGCCGGAAGTATGGGGACCCAAGTGAAGATAGAACTCACTATTCAGTCGTAATTAGATTTAACGTGTCAAACTTGTTACCTATTACACTCCGTTGAATTGCCCATTATCAGATCAGTATGAACCCTGTATGGGAAAAAAAAGTTAGAATTGCTTTAGAAAAACTGATTCATCAAATCTCTTTCTTTTTCTTCTTTTTTGTGGTGGCGCTGCAGTTATTTGATGAGGAGGCACAGTGGAGTAATGGATAGTGGCTTGGATTGAGGAATCGGAGAGCCGAGTTCGAATTCCAGTTGAATCCATTACATTCACTTACGTGCTAACCCCCTTGGGAAAGGTGTGAATCCTCTTTCTTCTCCCTCAAGCTATGGGTAAATAGCAGGACAGACTGGGTTCTATAGCCTTGGATGGCAACTGATCTAGGAGAAGGAAAACTCTGAATTCAAACCTGCTCATAGAGGAGGGTGAATGGAGTCTCTCTCTGAGCCTTGGTTGGCAAGCCATTTAGTGATGGTGTCACGATAAAAACACCCTTGATAGCCCTAGCGAAGCATCAAGAATTCAGTTATTTGACAAGATTATGAACTACACCAATCAAAGTATTGGTGAGTTCAATCTCGGCTGTGGCCGCGAGAGAGAGAGAGAGAGAGAGAGAGAGAGAGAGAGCAGTTATTTTTACACCGAATCGTAAGCTGCCACCCCTAAATAGACTTCTTCATTGATATTCTAACTATATATATAGTATTGTTGCCATATATGGTGCACCTTCTGTTTACCTCGGAGTTCTCGACAAGATCCAGAGGCGGATATGTAATATAATTGGCCCTGATCTGGCGTCTCGTCTACAGACGCGCCGTCGCCTCTCTCTGTCTTTTTTACAAATATTTCATGGTAATTGCTCCGATGAGCTGCATTCACTGGTTCCCAGACTACAAGAATTCAAGCGCCTTACGAGGCTGGCATCCCGCTCTCACCTTTTCACTGTAGAAACTTTTAAATGTAGCCGTCTCTTCTACTCCAATAGCTTCATATCTCGCACCTCTCGCCTGTGGAACACCCTTCCCTATTCCTGTTTCCCTGAGAGCTATAATCTCCAACTAATCAAATGTAATGTCAATCGACATCTCCAGTTACCTTGATCTATCCACTATCCCTCTCCTCATCCTTTCTTCTATCACTACTATCTGCTTTCACTCCAAATCTTCTGCAACCACCTGCATCCTAGTGGCTTCCCGCCTTGCTCGGGTCCTAATGCTTATATATATATATATTTATATCTTTTTAATACTACCCATATTTTAAATATTTGAATAGCTATTATAACATGACTTCGTTGTCAAGCTTTTTGAATTTTCCTATACTTGTATTTTGATTGGTCAATCTAGCTTTTGTAACAACGTTTTCCCCTTGTGAAGGATTGTTAATTCGAAACTTTTAAAACCATTTATTTTACATTCAACATCATCACTTGATAAGACAACAAGGGTGTTGAAACAAAATGGCTATTTTTGTAGTGATTTTATAACATATTTATGTTATAAATTTTTTTTAAATAGATAATTATATATATATATATATATATATAGATAGATAGATAGATAGATATATATAAAGAAAGAACAGTAAGATA